TGCCACACAAACAAGCACATAAGCCGAGGATGTTTATTGTAGTGTGGGCAGAGCCTGATGGGGAACTCTAAGTGACTAGTGACTTGATTGGCAAGGGATGACAATGGGCAGATTCCATAGTTGTTACATAGGTCAATAGTGACTATGAAATCCATTCACTGTAGTCCACTATCAATCACAAGGGAGGTGGACTGAATGGGGAACTAGTCTTTTAGCATACCCATAAGGCTCCACCTACTGTCCAAGTACAGCCTCAGGTTGATTACTTGCTTAGTGATCTGTGTCCTAGCAACCAATGAAGCAAACACAAAACACAATAATTAACTTAAAAGAGAAGTATGGGATTTAATTTTTTTCACAAATCATACCTACCTAGGTGGAGGCAGCATTGGTCCGATGCTGCATCTGTCCCCCCACTGGCTCCAAGAGTGACCAGATGACTGCTGCATTCTCACAGCCGCTCTGAGTAAGTGTGACTGTCAGTCACCGCTCTCTGCTCTGCCCCTCCGCTACACTGTGTTTATATAATTTGTCATTTGCACTTATTGGGTCTAAGTTTTAGTGTTAGCAGCTTAGGGTTAGGGCTCCATTTAAAGCACAGGAAGATCCATCTATTATTTGTTCCCACAATCATATGGACTTTCACCAGATAACAAGACCCTTGGATCTCATTGGGTCATACAAGGCATGATGGAATGAAACATGGCCACTAAGCAACCCTTTCTTTCCTCCAGGTCCAATCTTTAAACCTCCATCAGCACATTAAATTGCTCCAATAAATATTAACAGTAAGGCCTGGTTGACACCTATGCAGTTTGCTTTTGATCCGTTCCTGCAGTGCTTTTTGTGGGTGTGTTTTGCATTTTTTGCACATTCATTTTTCAAAATTTTTTTAAGCATTTTTGCGTTTTTTTAATGCTTTTTTTTGCCAATTTGTTGTTGGGCAAATTATGCATTAAAAACGCATAACAAAACACACTACATGCTTTTTCTGCAGTGTTTAAAAAAAGTCCCTTTCCAAAAACTCAGTGGCTGAAAAAAGCATAGATGTGAGCGTATCCCTTAGGTAACCATGTTAAATGGACTTTAGTGTGTTTCTGCATAAAGCACCAAAAAACGCATTCTGTTTACAAGAATCTACAGATGTGGTAGTCTTAATAGCACATCATCATGCTTGATATGACCCACTGATTTCTAAGGGTCTTATTATCTGGGGAGATTCCATTTTTTAAATGTGATTTGCTGCACAGAGGTGATATCAAGTGATTGGAACAAATATTTACACAAAATTGTGAACACCTATACTTTTTGTGATTGTATTAAGGACTATACAGAATAATTTTCATTTTGAGATATAATTTTTCCTTTATTATGAGTGGCGTTCAAGTCAAACTGGGACTTTTGAGTTTATTTAATAAAAGAACACATTTCAAGGAGTTTAAACTGCATTTTTTGTCAACATACTCCCCTGCTACATTTATACACATATCTAGTGCCTGGAAAGCTTTTGCATAGAAATATTTGTCAGTACACCGGAACCACCCTAGGACAGCCTACGTCACGTTGTCATCAGTGCTGAAATTCTGACCTCTGTGGAGCTCTTTTAGGGGTCCAAACAAGTGGAAATCAGTCGGAGCTAGGTCTGGGCTGTAAGGGGGATGTGGCAACACCTCCCAGCTGAGTTGCTATAATCTGCATGTAGTGCAGTGAGCAATATGATCTAGTGTGTTGTCCTGGAGAAACAGGACTCCCTGGACTTCCTTGTCAAAAAGCAGTGCAGACTTTAACTCTTCTGTGTCAATCAAAAGCGAAAAGCTGTCTTGGTACCCTGCGTGCACTAACTTTTCGAAAATACAAATATTCCTGAATGATTGTGTTCACTGTTCCCACAGAAAGATTAGTCTCTTTTGCAGTTTCACAACAGGTTATGCGTTGATTATCCAGGATCAGGTGTTCCATGGGCTGAATGTTCACAGGAATAACTGCTGTGGGCTGGGAATCACAACAGCTGAGATCGTCACTGAGGGACGTACGGCCATTTTTTAAACATTTATACCATTCAGATGTCTTACTGTGTCTGAGCGTCTCATTACCGCACTGTGCTTAAAGACTTCAGTAGATATCCGTGGGTTTTATGCCTTCATTCACAAGAAACTTCATGACTGCACACTGTTCCATGCATGCACTAACACTGTTGTCTGCCATCTTGATTAACAGTCTCTGGCCTGGCCCACGACATGTGCAAAGCCTGTCAATAATAAGACACACTTGCCACTTACCACGGCATGTAGTACCACCACGCTAGCGTCCCTTTTTTATACCTATAAAGTTAAAAGTCCCAGTTTGACTTGAATGCCCCTCGTGTATATACAGTGCTCAGCATAAATGAGTACACCCCAACAGATTTGTTGGAAAACCTTTACTTTACTTTCAGAATCAACATTTTCTATGGGACACTATACTAAAACATACTCCCACAAATGTGGGCCATTGATTGCAAACAAGATTTGTTAATTTGCACACACAAAAAAGTATTTTTCCTAACAACTTCATTCAAGACTATTCTGCAAAAATGAATACACCCCAATGAAAGTCTTTGGAGCAAAGCTAAATTTTAGACAATGAAATCCTAATTAACAAGAATTCAACTACAGGTGAGTCTAATTATTCATTTTACAGGTGTTTCAGCAGACAGATGATTGTAAAAGGGCATTACTTAACAAAGAAAACCCCTCCCATTTTATGCTGTCAGCAATGGCACCACATGGAAGAGAAATGTCACAAGCCCTGAGAATGAAAATGATTTCTTGATACAAGAAAGGTGAAGGCTACAAGAAGATCAGCAAATCTTTACTTATCAGGCAGAATACTGTAGCAAAAGTGATACACAAATTTAACAAAGATGGAACTGCAACCATCTCACAGAGGTGTCCTGGACATCCACAAAGGTTAACACCTCAATAGGAACATCTTCTGATGAGAAGGGTTGAAGAAAATCGCCATGAAAGTTCACTGCAGTTAGCTAAAGAAGAAGAAAGCCAAACTGGGGTGATTGTTTCCTGTGACTCAATATGGCTTACACTGCTGAGGAACATGGTGGTGGCAGTATCCTTCAGTGGGGCTGAATTTCATTGATGGTATCATGAATTCACAGATGTATTGCTCTATATTGAAGGAGAAGATGCTACCATCACTCCGTGCCCTTGGTCGTCGTGCTTTTTTCCAACATGACAATGATCCAAAACACACACATCTAAGGACACTGTTGCATTTCTGAAGAACAGGATGAAAGTGATTTAGTGGCCAAGTATGTCTCCTGATCTGAACCCAATGGAACACCTATGAGGAATTCTGAAGAGACAAGTTGAGCCTCACTCTCCATCCAGCATCCAGGCTCTAAAAGAGGCTGTTCTTGAAGAATGGAAAAAGATAGATGTTGCAATATGTCACCAACTTGTTCATTCCATGCCTAGAAGACTTGGTGCTGTCCTTACAAATCATGGAGGTCATACAAAATACTAGATGTAGTAGTTTTTGTTGTGGGGTGTATTCATTTTTGCATCAACTAATTTGAGTAAGACTGTTGATTTTGTAATCTAAGTTATATTAGTAACCTTACTTTCATGTAATGCGCTAAACAAAGGTTCTATAACAAAACTCAGTTTTGTTAAAAGTTTGAAAATTGTTTGTGTTCATTGAGATATTGATTTAAATCTTGCTTCTCAAAAGGTGTGTACTCATTTATGCTGAGCACTGTGTATATATATATATATATATATATATATATATATATATATATATATATATATATATTGTAAATCTTTCCCGCATCCAAACAACAACAAACGTCACTAACAACCAAGTATGATCTCTCTTTTCCTAATTCCTTGGATATCCAATTCTCAGATCTTCACACCAATATCTTCATCTTCATCTTTTTACCCTCAAAAATGCACATGAACCACACATAGTGCATTATCTTTTTGCATTTAGAATTTATACTAATGAATCACACTCACAAATTGTGCTAAAAATCTGTGCTATCAAATCCACCAAGTGGATTTTATCTGCAATTCTTACTCTAGCCCTCTAAATATATCTTATTTGCCTTACTGCAGATTCCAAAAAATGTTTCCTCAATATGTGAATTCTTCCTCTTGTCCTCCTCTCCAAAAACAGTTACACCCTCCAAAAGATATATGTACATAGTGTAATACTGTCAATGAATCAATATTATATTGTGCCATCCAGTGCTCCACTATTTTCCTGGATTTTGACCACCAGTAAAAAAAGCGACCACCAATAAAAAAATTGATCCACCACCTCTCAAGCCATGCACCTTACCAAACTTAATCAGTCAAACAGCCTTGAACAGAAACAGTTCTTCCCAGCCAACATTGCTCTTGTTACTCCCACTGACAGCAATATATGGATCAAGACAAATAGACATACATCGTGTAATAAAATCAAAACCAACGGTTTATTAATATAAAAAGCACTTAGAAACAAATGGTGTACATCAGCATTTAGTCTCTCTGGTCAGGACCTCATCAAAGATGGATGCCACACAACTTCCGTTTTACATCTGACGTCACTCGTTGCCGCATTTCGTCATTATGACTTCTCAAATCTCACTTCTCAACAGGGGTGTACTCATTTATGCTGAGCACTATATATATATATATATATATATATATATATATAGTAAATCTTTCCCAGCGTCCAAACTGTTCCCACAAAGTTGAGAGCATGAAATTGTCCAAAATGTCTTGGTATGCCTTAAGAGTTCCCTTCACTGGAACTAAGGGGCCAAGCCCAACCCCTTAAAACCAACCAGCCCCACTCCATAATCCCCCTCCACCAAACTTTACACTTGGCACAATGCAGTCAGGAAAGTACTGTTTTCCTAGAAACCGCCAAACCCAGACACGTCCATTGGATTGCCAGACAGAGAAGTGTGATTCGTCATTCCAGAGAACACATCTCTACTACTCTACTCCACTGCATCTAATGCTTTGCATTGCACTAAGTAATGTAAGGCTTGGATGCAGCTGCTCGGCCATGGAAACCCATTCCATGAAGCTCCTACACACTGTTGTGCTAATCTGAAGGCCACACAAAGTTTGTAGGTCTTTAGCTATTAACTCTGCAGACAGTTGGTGACTTCTGCGCACTGTGCGCTTTAGCATGCGCTGACCCCGCTCTGTCATTTTACGTGGCCTACCACTTCGTGGCTAAGTTGCTGTTGTTTCCAGTTTGTTCCACTTTGTTATAATACCACTAACAGTTGACCGTGGAATATTTAGTAGCAAGGAAATTTCACAGATGGACTTGTACATGTGGCAACCTATCACAGTACCATGCTTGAATTTACCGAGCTCCTGAGAATGACCCATTCTTTCACAAATGTTTGTAGGGGTGTCCCAATACTTTTGGCAATATATTGTATATATTCCAATAGTCAAGGTACACCCCATGCACAGCTCTTCCACCCCTACCTTCTAAATTTCATTAATAAATGAATTAATATAAGGCTGCATAAGGAGCTTAGGAAGGTAGGGGTGGAAGAGCTGTGCAGGGGGTGTACACTGAACATTGGAATACAGGCAAGCTATGCTCCCAAATAGAATGCAAAGAACAAACTGACTACACTGGAGTGGATTTTCTTCCATGCCTAGTGTTGTCAATTTAAAATAGGAAAGCATGGAGAGTGACAGGATCACCAGGTATTTCACACAAAGGAAACACGATAATTTTTAATACAAGTACATGGTAACTCTGACACAGATCAAAAAATATGAAATAATGGGGTAACATACACTTTAACAGTACATAAATATTTGCTCCACTATTGACAATGATTACTACCAGGACTGTTGCCTCTGTAAATTGTGCAATGATCCCTCATAGTCTCTTACAAAAGTAATGAGTCTTTTCGGGAGTCAATATTGTGGCGTTTTTTTTAAAGGAACTCTTTAATGTTTAACTGACTGTTTATTGTGATACTTGTAAAGACGTACAATGAAAGTCAATATTCTTCAAAGTGCAGTGCTTCAGAACACAATGTACTCTGTGATATACTGTACAATGCTTTTCACTGTGGCCTATTTAGAACCTTGTAAGTAAATATTTCAGTTTATGTAGATTGTTGTCTAAAAAGGAAGCATATTCACTGCCTACAAAATTATTGAGCCCCTTTCAGAAGGACTATTATACAACATGAGGATTGATACTGTGGCCAGATAAAAAATGGTCACATTATCACTACATTTTAGTGGCAGGGAATTGCAGAGTATACCTGTTACTATTTGCAACCACTAGCTACTTGCCTTGTCTAGAGTGGAGGTATTACAGGTGTGTATACATAATTACATTGTAAAACATGCAGCATTTACAAATGATACTTTCCACCAAAACTGCAGAAATAAGTTGTAGTCCTTGTCAGGTTCGATTCCCAAAAGTCATATGATACTTATACTGCACTGATGAGAGCTAACTGGCTTGAAAGAGCTGTAAAATGGACAGGCAGATCAAACATTTTGGCTGCCCATGTGCTCTACAAACAGGTCTGGTCAGGTAATAAGGGATACATGCTTGTTCGCGCTTCTAAAACAAAGGCTAACTTGCTTGTTTTCTGCATTTTTGATGGCAGTAATAATATTGTGTCTTACTGAAGATAACATAAGATACATAAAACAAGGGATTAATTCATTCTCAGTAGAGAGTGGAGCCATGCAAATCATTTCGTTATACCCTTGTGACCAGCTGTGCACCCAGGGCTGAAGATTTGCTGACCACTGTTCTGATATCATCTGTAATAAGTTAAACCTACTGCAAACCTAAAGAATTAAAAAAAAGAATATTAAACATGCCAATGCAATTTATAAAGGATTCACAGGAAGAGGTACTCTGTAGTCATAACCGAGCGGGAAAACAATATGTTGATCCAGATATATAGGCATGTGAAGGTATATGTAAATGTAGCACCCCTGCCCTGGGCTGGCTAAATGTAGTGTATGGCTCTGCTGTGTCCCGCTGAGCTGCAATTTATTTTTTAGATCTGTTCAGACTTTCCATAAGCCTAGAGGTTGATTTCTCCAGTTTGCCTCTGGAAGAGTATTGCAGAAATAGAGTAGGAGGATGAACTACTGGGTTGTGGATATTTATTGGACCCTGGCCAGTCCCTGGAAGGCTGGCCCAGAAGACTTGGCTGGGAAGATAAATATTTGGGAGGTCTCTATCTTGGGGTCTTCACCCCCTAAGAGGCAGCATGTGTGATCCAGAAGAGTTACTGCTGTTAGGCTTTAGCATGTGATATAGACGAGGGCCTGAATTAGGCTAAACTGAAGGAAACTATAGAAGCTGGACTAGAAAGAAAGCCTTTTTACTGAAGAGTGTTGCAGGAGAGCTGATTAGGAGCTGCCTGTGGACATTGTGAGTAGGATCTTTCACCTATAGCTGTGTAGAGACCTGTGTATATCCAGCAGCCTCCTCCAGGGGGTAAGTGCTACATAAATGTTGATATTTCTGTAGGGATTACGTTCATTTTTCTGTAGACATCACTGTAGAGACACTGGTGAATCTTGACCTTTGTTTTGAGATTTGCATATAGTTTTAAATGTATAAATCTTTGGATCTATTGAAAATTTGAATGTGGTTTTCACTGAAGGTAGCTTTTGAAGGCTGTTTAATTGTAATTTTCCAGGTTTAAGGTATATTTACTTTAGTGAGCTAGTGCTGTATTTTTAACAGTATTAAAGCTGAAGTTTAGCTATTGCTTTTTTTGTTTGTTTTACAGCTTTAGTGAGTTAACTTACCTATAATGAAGGATGCGTCACATTCTGCACACATTCTGGGTCCTGGAGAAATCTTCACTGCAGGGATGCCTTATCCTCTTCTTCCTGTGGCTGAACATCTGGTGCACACGGGGTTAATAGGTATGGGCTAAGTTGCCGTGCAAAAAGTGCCCAATGAGGTCCTGCCCCCTCCTCTTTCCTCTTCCATTGAGAAACGTTCTATGATTGCTCTCACTTCCTGTAAAATGATCTGTGAATGGCGGAGAAAATCATGTGACTCAAAAGACTTTTCATCGTTCACATGTTACAGGCAGTGAAAGGAATCAAAGAACTTTTCTCAATGGAGGAAGAGGGAACAGGAAGCGGGTTCTTGTTGGGCTGAGATTTTCTGCAGCAACCAAGCCCAGATCCCAAAGCTATTAAGCCCTGCAGAGCCGGCCGTTCAGCCACAGGAAGAAGACGGGGCACCCCAACAGTGAAGAGTTCTCTGGGATCCAGCTGCCTGAATCACATGGGACATACTTCATTACTGGTAATTTATGTCACTAAAACTGTAGAGAAAAAAAAAAAAAGCTAAATTTCAGCTTAGTGTATGTCAGGTCAAAGTAATCAAAAACTTATTCAGCACAATGCTTCGGTACATGTGTTTATCCATCCTTTATCCTTTCAAAAAAGGTGCTCCTGACTTCCTGTATGGGCTGACAACACAGTGCCTTTGCTGCTTGGAAATCCTAACCTGTAAAAATGAATGCCTGTATGCAGTCATAATAAGGTATACTCTGAATCTTTCGTGCATTAATGTAAACATGAGCGTGCAAGTCTGATGTATTCCCAGAATGCAGAATTTTGTGTTCACAGAATACATTATACGCTGTGTGTGTGTATATGCTAATGCACAAAATTATTGGTCTCTACCTGGTGTGATCACGTATAGCCATACACCTCTGTGGTCAGCTGTATGTGTCAACTGCGCCTCCCTGGGCAGCATAAAGCCCCAAGATCTTACGCTAGAGCATATCTCAAAATCTCAAACTGCCCATGTGTATGAGGCCTAGAACTCCACCTATCCTCCATCACTTACTGTCCCATTCCTCATATATGCATTGATTTCTTTTTCCCAGCAAAACGATGATGCCGCCTTGACTCCCAAGAGCTTGCCTAGACACTATGGGGTATATTTACTAAAACTAGTAAAAATAAGCCCCCAGGTGGGAGATGTAACAAAACTGGTGCACTCAGAATCTGGTGCAGCTGTGCATGGTAGCCAATGAGATTTAAACCTCAGCTTGTTCAATTAAGCTTTGGCAATGAAACCTGGAAACTGATTGGTTTCTATGCAGAGCTGCCCCAGATTTTGCACCATGCAATTTTAGTAAATAATTTGTAAGGAAACAGAAAACAAAAATAATGCAGGGACATGCTCTACATGGGGAGAGGGAGCTTTGGGGGTACATTTGGGCAATGCCTGGACATACACTTTAATAGACGTTTTTTTTGTTTCGTTTGGCACACTTCACCATAAGTTTAATGATATAGAAAGATTATTATTTCTGTGCCTATCTTGTGTCACATTATAGTTACCGTTTAATGCCCTCGGCAATAACTAAAATGACACAAAATTTCTACTGCTAAATGAAATTATGGTGAACGGGCACAGGGAATAGGAAGCAATTATCTGGATTTTACAATGTGACTTTAACTTCATACAGTGTGGTTTAAATAGATGACATGTTACCATTAGAAAAATGTTTTTTATTTCTGGAAATTTGATCCGATTCCCTGACTCTTGATCCTAATGGCCTGATTAGGAAAGAACGAACAAGCCACATGCTGGATGTAGCTGAATGTATCTAAATGACCATTAGTGGCACTTGTAAGGGGAAGAAATGCTTTACAGTGATATTCTGAATTTTTTCATCAGTCATATCTCAAGCAAAACAAGTATTTCCTACTGCTTAAGCCATAAGGGAACAACTGTAAAAAGCAATACTACAGCTCTGGGCATTACTAATAAATGCACGTACACACTTTATGAATTAAATATCATTGTTAATTAGCTTATAATTAAAGATGGGTGAATTTTTAAAGGGATTGTGTGACACGTGATGCAGGATCACAGTGTTGTAGAACAGATAAAGCCATGCTTTTAATTTTTTAACTCATGCTGCTCATGATGAGTAATTAGTGGATGAAAGTCAGCCATTATTGTATCTATTATTTAAAGTGAGCCTGTGCTTTGCTTATGCCTTAGAGCTTACATAGGGCTAGTTATTGAGATTCAGCTGTGACATTAACATTTGGATGTACCTATACTTCATACCTGCTGCAGATTGCTTCCTCCATTACAATAACCATTAGCAACCATGACTGTAGCTATATCGTTTACGTTCTTGGGGGCAAATAAGTCTTCATCACAATC